ATACATACATACATACATACATACATACATACATACATACATACATACATACATACATACATACATACATAAATAAATAAATGTATTAAGTATGGGGGGATGAAACTTTTTTTTAGTAAAACATTTGTCTGATTAAATTGCCTACATATAATATGAATAAGATACAGAGGAAAACACATTAAATGTGTTTGCATGATAAGGAAACAAGTAATTGTTATATGAATTTGATTAAACTAAATTAAAAAGGATTAGGGGTTATGGTTATAGGATAATGGTAATTTCTAGACTGGATTCTGATTTCTGTCTAATATATACCAGAATATCTCCCATCTGTATGGAGTAGGATACATGGAATAGAGCATTGCCTGCTTTTTAGTTCAGAGGTCATGAGACTGCAAAATTTCCATTCTCACAAACACAAGATATGGGACCATTGATGGCATAGAAACACTCAGTTCCATGGAAAGTAATAAAAACATTCCTATGGCAACTTTACTTACTTTATCAGTTTTATTACTTTACCTCTAAGTTCTAACATAACATAAGCCAAATAATTCAATAGCTCTTCTGTCATGACTCAACAGTGTGGTCAACAGTCTTCTCCATTGCTGCTGCCAGGTGACTAAGGGGAAAGAAAAACATAATTACTACTTGATTTGTCTTTTTGTTTTTTGTTGTTTCACTTTCAGGCAACTGGAAAAAGAAAACATTAAAAAGAAATACATTTTTGCCATTTCAGCTGGGACAATTTAAATTAATATGTCAATGTGATCTTTAGGACTCTGGGCAAGGTCACCAATCTCTTTTCCCTGTATTTCTGATCATTTCTGTTTTAGCGTATGTATTTTTGATTCTAGGAACTGACAGCATATTGATCCATTCATTTTCTATCAGGATGGTAACACTATCCAGCATGGGCATATTCTGATTATTTTCTCAAGCAGAGAAATAATTGGAGATGGTGGGATAGAAGTATCTTCTTCTACTTCATCCTGAATCACTCATGGCTTCCTTCCCCCCCCCCTAGACCCAAGGAGCAGGCTCTCCTCGCTCGTCTCCCAGCCACACGATCAGTCGGCCAATTCCAATGCCTATCAGATCTGCATCTGCCAGCTCAACCCCAGCCCACACACCACAAGATTCTCTGACAGGGGTGGGAGGAGATGTGCAAGAAGCTTTTGCGCAAGGTAATGGTACAAACTGTCCTCTGTTAAAAAATTAATAATCCGTAGCTTCTTTCCTCATTGCATATCTATTAAACTCTCTGAAAAGAGTTTTTTCTTAAAATAATTAATCAAGTAATTCAAAGTTTATATTTGGGACAAGCAGCATCAGAGGACAATTCACGGCAGACTAGAGCAGAAATGGAAAAAAAAATAACATTAGTTTTTATTGCTGCATAATAAAATAATGGGAGAAAAAAAATTCTTCCAATCTAATGTCCAGTTTTCTAAATTATCTGCAAAGGACACAGTATTTTTTATTGGCAAATATACATAGAGATGCATTTTATTCTCAGACAATAGCAATTGTACTTATTTATAATGTGCTATTATAAGCTGTGCTTTGTAGTTATTGTTCCTCATGCCAACTGCTTGACAATCCGGAGGCTTCTACATTGGCTTCCAAGGTCCTATTACAATATGGCTCCAAGTAGTTCAGAGGCCAAGCTGTTGGATATCATTTTCGTGCTGTCTATCCCAGACTGTTATAATTTCATCATATATCCCTAGAAAAACGTAAAATATCTTAGAACTAAAAACAACAGTTGGCTAATCACTGAACCTACTCTAGCATATTTCATTTGATAAATAATTTCTCTTTAATTTTTCATAAAGAAGGCAGAGAATTCAGACAGAATTTTACCAAATCTAATTTTTCCCCATCTGATGCTGTCCCTATATGGCAGTAGTTATATCTTGATACAGGAGCGTTACATCGCCTACCTAAAAAAAGTATACCAGTTCCAAACTAATTAATTTTATTAAAGCCAATCTATTCTGCAGAGGTCATGAAGAAATTAATACATGTGTAGTGTGGGTAGTCAGAGATTATGCCACTATAAAAACTACCTAAACAGATTTTTAAAATTCATAAATTTTAAATTGTTTTCTTAATTGAGTTTTGCATCATTTATTATTTTACCTTGTTAAATGTACACAAAAAACTCAAAACATTGCTAAAAATATTTTGCACTTTGCTTTTCTATTGATTAGGTACAAGAAGAAATTTAAGAAATGACTTGTTGGTAGCTGCTGATTCTATCACCAATACCATGTCTTCTCTCGTGAAAGAGTTAAACTCAGGTCTGATGATTTAAAGCATAAGTGTTTTATACTGGTTGAATATATAGTCTAAAGATAAGCTGCAATCTAGAAAAAATGTGCTGCAAAATATTTTAAGCTACTATTTAACAGTTTGAACTACTGATTTAGTCTTTTCAGCACAAGATTCCTTCTTATTTCAGCATTTAAATTGGTGATATTTATTTATTTCCAGTGCTTTTTAAATGCCTGAGATTTTTGTTAATTTTTATGGCTATTAAATAAGAGTTAGATTGCCTTATTAATGATTATATTTATGTGGAGTACAGATTTGGTAGCTCGTGTAATGCCAGGTGCTACTGAAATATTTTAAAAATTAAATCTTACTGAATATAATTGAACTAACTCAAATGAATTCAAATGCAGCAATATGTCTTCTTGCTGAACAAATGGTCAATGCTGTTTAGTTTCTTTATTTCTTTACACTGTCCAAGGGTTCATGCATCAGTATTGTAATAAGAGGCAATCCAGTGATGTAATTAATTGTTAATACCTCGCTTAATAGCTTACCCAGTCATTAGCATATTCCCTGATTTAGGGATACCAGGTACACTGAGTCACCCCACTTGGCATCAAAGCTTTACTTGTCTGTGTATGGCAAGTTGTAATAAATGGCAAATTTGAACTGTACAAAAGTGAAAGTTGCTCTGCATGTGTTTTTAATGTGGACAGTATGGTGTTTCTTTAGCAATATAAGATGGCAATGTACAGTAATAAAAACAGGAGAGAAGCATGCTAGGAATAGGAACGAAAGATATAATTATCATACCAACCTATTTCTTCATACAGAAGTTGGAAGTGAGACAGAAAGTAATGTGGATTCAGAGTTTGGTCGGACTCATTTTGATGATCTTGTTCCATCACCAACTTCTGAAAAGGCTTTTCTGGCACAAATCCATGCCAGGAAGCCAGGATATCTTCACAATGTAGCTGCTACTGGAACCATTCGCAGTGACCTGTGGGTATTCCATCCTGTTTTGCCTTCTCTTTGATTTCTATCTTTTTCTTGTCTTCAATAAACAAAGTTTGAGAAATTAAGTTTCCATTTAATATTGGGATGCTTTTTAAAGTAAAGATTAAGCCAAGTATAGCAATAAAGAGTGACTTTTGAACTACAATATGAAACTCTCATAAGATTTTGGTGAGAAAAACAATTTGCAATGTTTTTTATATTTGAACTCAGGATGAAAGTTGTTGATAATTAATATATACCAAAGAACAGCCAAGTCTCTTTTAGGAACATCATTTGAATCCATTCAAAGGGGCATTTCAGAAAATATGCCAAAATTGGGTGTAGTTTTTTTTTATTTCCTTTGAGAAGAATGGACAATTTTCTGCTGAAGATGAGGATACTGCTTTAGATGGAAATTTAGAAACTAAGTGTATTATCTATCTATGTACAAAATTACATAGTGGTGATCAGAGGTTCGGCCCGGATTAGGCGAATTGGTAGTAGCAGTAGCGGGACGCTCTGCCCACCCATCAGGGTGCTTCTGCGCATGTGTAGAAATGTCGTGCGCGGGAATGTGCCTAAACCAATAGTAGAAAAATTGGCAACCCATCTCTGGTGGTGATCCTATAATTATACCCATCTACTCAGACACCTTTTACAAGATGGCGAGATCTTGAAAAGATCTTGATCCAAAGCAGAACATTATAGCAAAAGACCAAATGAAATTCAAGTATCTGTTGAAGTCATTGCTTCAGATATTAACATGATTCAGATGAGTTTGTTCTGCATGTTTATTTAGATGAAATATTAAGAGATGCTTTTACAGGATGTAAAAGGGTATAATTCTCAGTTCTGGGCACCAAACATTCTGGTATTCACCACAACATACCAAACTGGTAGTCCACCATATAATTCATACCTTTCTGAAATACAGAGTTCTGCATATTACTATTATTATGTAATTTATTTATATGGCTGCCCATCTCATCTAAGCCATTCTGAGAGGCTCATAAGAAAAAAAAACAAGCTAAATAATATACAAAATATGAAAGCTACCATATTTGGTATAAAATCACAATCAGCATCAGAAGTCATTCTATGGGAACTCACAAAAGCCAGTATAGGAGCTCCCTACCACATCCCTGAATCTTCATAGTGCCCTGAGCTTTCTACCACTTTCATTCTATACTGGTTTTCAAAAATGCCCTCCTAGGCAATCTGTTCTACAAAAGTTAAATTATGAAAAAGGGTACTGGATTTTTCTAAACTCACATTCCACAATATAAATGACTTGGTGTGGGTTGTATACTCTGTTTCCCCACCATCACTTCTGCAAATTTAGACTAACATAAGATGGAACTTACTGCTTTTACATAGAAGCATCTGAATACGAAGTAGGTCAGGCAGTAATTGCACAACCCTATTTATTAATAATTGTGTTTAGGGTTACAGAGGATGGAGAGTCTTACGTTAGAGCTGATGATGAGAACTATGAAAATGATTCTGTCTGTCAACTAGAAAATGAACTCAAGATGGAGGAGTATTTGAAGCAGAAAATGCAAGATGAAGCTTATCAGGTAAAAATAAGATAAGAACTCAACAAAATTGCACAGCGGAAAGAAATTTTACTGTCCTAGATTTTGTTTTTTTGAAGAATATGTGATAAGGGTATAGATTCCAAATAATAGTGAGATGCATTCATATTTCTGTGAATCAGGAAGTACTTTTTGTACTGAAATTAAAAGGCTGACATTAACCTTCACAAGCTGTTAGTTGGTGCATCACAAATACTAGTAACATACTCTGTCAACAGTGTGCTGTTCTATTTTCACAAAATAACTTTGAGAGTAGGTGGGTGTTCACACATGCATTCTTGGCACTTTTATACTGTGAAAGAAAGTGGTAATTTGCATGTGTGAATGAGCCATCAAGACTTAATCTCCAAAGATAGAACTTTCATGTTACTCAAAATCATCTCAAATACAGTGTCTTTTCTTCAGCAAAATAAATAATTTCAAATTAAAACCTAATTATCTACCATCCATGCCAATAAGCAAACAAAGCTAGTCCAATTTTATAGCCCACTAAAGAAAGCTGCCACTAGTGTACATTGATAATAGTAGGAATCTTATGCTCTCTCAACATAGGCAGACATTATAAAAAAACCCAGTAATTCAGTTCACAAAGTCCCTAGAAACTACATCAGATACTAGTACTAACATAAGTACTGACAGTGCTAAAACCATGTAGAAGATATGAGTCACTGATAGCACAATTGCTCTGATGCAATTATAGAGACTATTTCACAAATATGTTAACAACAGTGTGTAATCACAGCTGCCAGGTCTTTAACTGCTACTAGCCATCATATTGACCAATATCTTCTCAAGATCTTAGGATGTCATAAACTATCAGCATAGTATATGTGTGGGTCCAAGCAGCAAAATATTTTTTTCTAGTAATTTTCTAGTATTTTAAAATTTTCTAGCAATTTAAAAAGATAGCAATATCTGCCTGCCGTAATTTTGGCATTATAGAAATCAGTCTAAAATCTAAAATTCTTGGTATATGTTGAAATGTTACTTCTAAGTAAACCAGCAGATAATCTGCCTATATTATGCTTATTTATTGGGAATATGGATTATATCTACAAGAAATATTAAATAGATCAAAGCACTGAATAATATAAGAATGTGTTTTCTGTTTCACTATATGTAAGGAATACTGATTAATGAGAAACTTAACTCTATCTTAGGAAGTACTTTTAAATGTTGAAAATTTGTAGTTTTAGGACCATTTGTACATATCCTTATAAAAAATGAGTATATTGTAAAAGTTACAAATACAAATGAGAAATGATTGCCTATAACTGCCTAAAGTATTTAGAAATAAGAGTTACAAGATAATCTTCTTTCTCTTTTTTGGTTGGGCCTTGTAGCAAATGCAACAAATTGAACAAATTGAATCTTCATCCTTTCTAGCATTTTCTGCAGCAACAACCTTCTCACAGTTTCTTCTTGCATGCTAACCTCTTCATTTGGTGTGTACTATTCTTGCATGCCCATATGACACCTCTCACTCCTGTTGAGTCCCTTTGTCTTTAGAATGGTGCACTGATCTGGCTGCTCACATTTTCTGTTTTCACTTTCTTTTTTACAGGTCAGCTTACAAGGATGAGTAACCATCCTTGTATCACTCTCCTCTCAAGTAAGTTTTAAGTTGGTTTAAAACTGATATCAGTCACTTTCATTCAGTAATTATCCTGATTGGAGTGCAAGATGGGAGGGGGAGAGGCAAAGAAGTTGGCCACATTTTTCTCTTCACCAATACATTATAATATACTGTAATTATTTTGCAATACTGTAATCATTTTGCAATTCTAACTGTAATTGTCAAATGAGAATAAGTTCCTATTCTGTAGCAGTGGAAAAGCTATTGAGAGGAGTGTAGGCTATGTGATTTGTTTTTATGGGCCTGTTAATATGAAACACTGTTTGCTACTGGATGGAATGAATACCATCTTTGGAAAGAATGATATGAAACATAACTCCCCAAACTAGAATTTAGTGATTTAGCTTATAAATCTGTTTTCTGGATGCAAATGAGTTGCATGTGGGTTATCATGTATCATAATTAGTGTCTACACTTTTCAAAGCAATATTTTGTAGCACAGCATAAGAATGTTTTGAATCAATATTATTACAGAATCAGGCAGATGTTTAGACTGGATTTGGCATCTTTGTCCACCTATCAAGACCTTTCCAAAGATCTGGGATAGACATGGATGGCCTGCTTTGTGGGAGTGGCTTGCTGGCCATGTGACTGGGTGGGCATGGCCAACTTCTAAAATGTGGTGAAACTCACTTAACAACGCTCTTGCTTAGCAACCAAAATGTTAGCTCAGGAACTCTGGCATTTGAAGCATGCAAGTCTTAAAGCTGTCAAGTACAAGACCCTTGCACCCCTAACCCTTTAGAAAAAAAACCCAGGAGTGTTCAAGCTTGACAGTATTAAGACTTTTGGACTTCAACTCCCAGAATTCCTCCTCNGCCTGCAGTGCTGCATTTAACCACTGCACCACCTCAGCTCATATAACCAGGCAAGCAGCATAATTAATGCTCAAGGGACTTTGCTGCTAGGAAATTCCCTCTATAGTTCTTTTTAAAAGGGATGTTTATGTCATATAAAGAAACATAGGTAAGGGAAAAAATTTATAGAAGGCTATTGAAGATTTTAAATTATTTGGTTTTTGAAAATGATATACAAATAATACACAGGAATTTACTCTTAGTAATGCAAAACTTTGCAGCAATGTGTATAGCATATAATATTCAATTTATAAGTTCACTAAGAAGCACACAAGAAGTACCCTTTTTTGTCTTTTATCAGAAATTCTAAGAGTAAATACAATTGGAATGATTAAAGATAATAATAGCATTTTATTCCTTACATTTACTGGGCAAGAGCCCTTGAGTTCTTTAGGTTTAATACACTTATTATGCTGTAGCCTTATGTAGATTAGCACCTACTTTTTCTGATATATGTATAGAAAACAAGTTTGTATACCCTGGTATATAGCATGACAAATCAAACTGATTGAAAAAAAAATCTTGTCTCCAACAATGTAGGATCAAAATGTATCCACCTTCCTTTTGCATATGGAAGATGACACGGTTGGCAGCTGAATTTTATTTACTTTGCTGGTCTTTGTGGGGGCTAGGGCACCAGATAATGGTCTGAAAATAGCAAAAAAATCAGGCTGTTCTTCAGGTTTTTGGCGCTCTGACTTGCGCACATGCGCACACATGCACACACGTTCTGGTTTGGGCACTTGGTGCCAAAAAAGTTCACCATCACTGCTATAGTTTATTTTCTTAATCACCCCACAATACTTGTTCCCCATACTTAAAGGACTTTGGATATTAAAATATCTCAAGAATGATAGGTTGTGAATTTGCAAATACAGAAACTAACAGAAAAAGTTCAGGAGGGTAAAGTGCAAGAAACAAAGAATGACATAGTTACAATATTTTCAGGATACTAGTTATGTAGATCCTGGATAGCTCTATCCATACTCCACCCTACTCTAATTTTATTACTAGAATATCCTCTAATGAAAAAGAAAGCAGCACAGTGTAAGACTGGAAAACCTGCTGTGAATAATGCTATTTTTAAATAAGTCTCAATTTAATGCAACAATGTTATATCAAGAATTCACCTTTTGAGCCCTGGTGCAATTTATGGAGCATCTATTTTTACATCTTTGTAGCAGCCAACTAGTGGCTTTTTTTTTTTTTTATATGAGTTTTATTAGTATTTGTAGGCCGCCCTTTTCCCTGAGGGGACTCAGGGCNTGAGGGCAGCTCCGTTGAGCCACCGGCGACGGCAGACTCCTCCCCCGGAAGCCCCATCAATCATAATATTTATGGAGCAACTTTCTCAGATTTGGGGCCTAAGTTTAATTCATGACATGATACATCTTTTCTCAAATGATGTCCTTCCTAAACAAACAAAATCTGGCTACCATAATCTATATGTACTGTTAACATTCTGTTGTTCTATTACCATTTATTGTTTGTGGATATTTTTTAAAGAACCGGGAAAGATGCACGCACTCTATATACTATACATGTGTGCAATAGAATACAGTATTACTGTAGAGCTGATAGATTTTTGTTGACTTGCTAATAGGGAAGATGGATATACCAATTTGATGATACAGAGCTATTTTGGGATAAGGGTTAAAGGCACGAGATGAGAAATTAGAAGACCATTCTAATCCTGCCTTAAATACAAAGCCAGTTGGGTAATTTTGGATAAGTTACTCTCTTTCAGTGCTAAAAAGAAGGCAATGGCAAACCACTTCTCAAAAATTCTGCTAAGAAAAATGCACAAATCAGGAGTCAAGACTCACTCATAGCACACATACACACAAAATTTTAATGATAATATTATTCCGGTATTATATGATTTTGAACAGTCATCACACAAATCTTATCAGTAACTCTATTCTCCTACCAATGATGCTTAACTGTGTATTCAGAATAGAAAGTCTACACCTATCCTTAAAGATAGCATATGCAGAACTGAAAATGTAAAAGTAAAGAGTAGAGTAAAATGTGACTAAGACAAGTCCAATCAGGTGTCTAAAGGAAGCTAGCCTAATTCAAGTAACAGTGAGGAGTGGGCTTATCAGGAATGTTCACATGGTGCGTATTCCACATTTGCACACTGGCTAAATAGGGCTGGTATGTTTCTATGACATGTGATAAATAGTACTATTAAAACATTTCTTGACAGGAAAGCTGCAGTCAAATGGATAATGAAAGTGATGTAAGAACTGAGGAGGAGAAAGAGAAGGAGGAAGAGGAAAAAGAGGAAGAAGAAGAAGACAACACTCCGATCAATGACAAAGATAGCCTAGCTGCCAGCTTCAATGAAGAAGTGAAAAATCAAGTGCAGCCTCTCTAACCAACTAGGTCTCCAGACTGTAGCACAATTATTTTGTTTGCCAAGTTCTAGTTTGTAGGTGTTTTATTTTTGAAGATTAAAAAACCATGATTTTTATTTAAAGTTAAATTATATCAGCTACATCATGTGTAACATGGCTTATTATTGATGAAGAACACTGGCTGTACTAACAAAATATAAACCCTTTGCACTTTCAAACCTGTTCAGTTTACAATGACAGTACTGTTTATATTAGGAGTTTGATTTCTGAATAATTTGAGGTTTTAGAACACTTTCCTACACACTGTACATTATTCTTCCATAGAGGAAATTTTAAAAGTATAATGATGCATTTATCATTGAATAAATATACTCCTGTGTGTACATATTTATAGCCCAAAAATGAACTATAGTTGCAATACTAAAGCCAACCACACTTGCAGAATTCTCACAGATATTACTAGGAATTGCACACATGTTGATACTACAATATTGCATCTTTGGATAGCAATTTGTTTTTAATATTTCTGCAAAATAAATAAATGAAAATTTAAAAACAAACTTGTACAAAATGCACTAAGAAGTATCTCTATGACTTAGGGCTACTACATAACGAATGTTTTCTTTCAAAATATAATCTAACAAATCAGCCATAGAACTTAGTGTAAATATTTTCTTTCCAAATAGAAATGATATACAAAAGACAACATTCAAATTATATAGAATCTAGTTTTTAAAATCAGTACAGATCTTCTTAAAACTGTGAACTATGTTTTGAAATACTCATTACTAAAGCTGTTTATAAACCACAGGTGCCATAAAATCCCTAAACTAATTGTATAATCTTCATTTTATTATTTTGTTGCAGTTTTAGAACTTTCTTTCACATTATCTCCATCTTTCATATCTTGTTGGTTGAGGCCTTCAGCTTTAAATGTACAGGCTTTAAAAGATTGCTTGCAATTACTTTCGTTTCTTATTGAATGTGCATTGCCTTAGTCAACCATTAGTTGTTTTGTGTGCATTCTTGGAAATGGGCCAGGGGTATCTGCAGGGTATTGTAAAAAAAAGAAAATCAAGATTGCTGCCATGCACATCTTGCAATGTATATAAATAGGCAGAGCTTTTATCACATTATCATGGCTGCACTTGCTTTTTTTTTAATCTTACCCTCTGGACACTCCTGGAATGAGTAGAGAGACTTTCTTCAGGGGCTGAATGGGGTAATCTGCTAAATATGAAAAGCACATGGAGGGGAGGTGTGTCCTTTCTAAAAAGAAAAAAGAATATATTATGTAATTACAGCAGTATCTCTTTTGAGTTAATCTTAATATGCTATTTAAAAAAATAATAGAGAGGAGGCTGCTCCCGAGGATTATATTTGGAAAAGATACTTCACAATCTTATTTTCCCTATATAGTAAATTAGTTACAAGCAAATTTTAGCCCTAAGGAAAACAGCAAATTATTTAGAAATTGTTAAGCGTAATGGTAACATTAAGCACGAATTTAGAAAAGCTGAAATATATAAATCCAAAGTTATTGTTAAAAAAATAATAGCTCCTTAAACTTGCTTACATATTGCATTGTCCAAATGAAAAGATGAATCTTTCTGTTGATTCTACAAGGGACATGCTTCAGATCAAAGATGTATAAATTAAATAACTCTAGGTACTTTCTAACTCATGCACAAAATAATTCCTGACATCTTCCTTCTTGTGTCTTTCTCAACATTGTCTCTATGTACTCAAATCACAGAATTTAGAGAACTGAAGAAAATATTTTTAAAAAATGTTTACATAGAGACACCCCAGAAACCTCGCAATAATTACTCTTTACTCCTGTAGTGTCTACCATCTTCACATGGTGGATACATAACTTTTGACAATTTACCTCTCCTATGCCCTTCTCTCAGGAACTGGTTACTCTCTACTAGTGCCTAGCACACATCAGTTAGTACTAGACAGTATATTGGCAATTCTTGCTGACAACTCAGGACTCCAGCCAAGTATTTCCTAAAGAGAAGCAAAATTGTATTAAAAAGATCGAAATCCAGCTAGATACCTGCAGTTAGAATAGGGATTGTGTTTCTCTGATATAGTCCTTAATTTACACACCCAGATTGCATGTAAAGCTCATGCACGAGTCTAAACTTTGGGAAATCTGTGCAACACTTATTGTCTTCACAACATATGCACCATTCTCTCAGTCTGGTTTCAGCACAGATTCTCCAAAGCAGAGCTCTAGGTGGCCTCTTATACTTTGGAAGTCCAAGTTAAAGCACTTTTTCATTTGCCACCAAAACCAAACGTTGCTACATCAACCAGTGTTAAGTTGACAGTGGCTCAGTATGGACAATACTTTCCCCTGATTTCTATCTAGCATCTGGAAACCAAAAGTGTCATCTTCTAACACAAAACTCAACCTCCTAGGCCATAATGTTGTTAGTATAAAGTTATGCTTGCATAAAACTCCACTAGCAAAGTCCTTAATCAGATTACCTGTTTCTGTATTTTGTCTGGGATGTCATATAAAAACCTAATGGAATAGGATATAATGTGGATGTCCTTATTCAGATGAACATTAACTTGCATGCCTAAGGAATCCAGGCCCAAAGCTAATGTTACAGACATACGTTTCCATGCACAATGAAACAAGCATGTAGAGGAAGTTGAGTGAGAGTTTTGTCCCAAATGTGCCAATGTTTTAGCCCATACAGTCTTTGTTTGCTAAACATGTTTGGACGGCGAACCTCAAAGTTGCTGGAATGGTTGAAATAGCCATTTATCATTTTTCATGGCTGTTTACTATAGCCCAAAACTCCTTGTGGATTGTTAATGGAAAGATCATTAAGAGGCAGGAATTAGAATGTGAAGATAGCAGGATTCTTGAATGTTGAAAGAAAAGAGAGGATAGAATCTCTGTAAGTAGTAATGTTAACTTTAAAACTGCATTAAAAGGTGTGTGGCCTTTGTGGTGATAATATGTATTTTCTTATATGCATGAGACAAAATGTTGCATCATTATTTAGCACAGATGTCTGCCTTTTACTTTAGCCACTTTCCTCCATTTTTATGAGTTCCTTGGAATTGCTGTAGATATATCTTGTAAATACCACAACTGCGGGTTGCAGCAGTTAGGTTGGTTCAATTCAGTGCCAGAGCTTGAATGACAGGACAGGAATTTATCTGTGAACCCAAAAAAGTATGAAGAATTACATCTTGAAACTACTAATTGTCTGATGTTTTTAACTACTGTTATTTCACACCAGTCTGAACGGACACACACTGCAAATTTTACATTATCCATTGGTATTGTAAACAGAATTATTATTGTATGGGGTTTTTTTGTATTGCTGTTAAGTATTGTTTTGTGTGTGTGTGTGTGTGTGTTAAGCCTATTGGGGACATATTTTGAAGTGATTAAACTATTTAATTGTGTGTCTATATTTTGGAATGGAATTATTTCTTCATTAAAAAAGAATTTTTAAAAGTAATTCATGTAGTCTCCCTTGTTGTTTGCACTGAATCCAAGATACATTTTCCCCTCTTCCAGACGAATTCTTTCTTAGATTTGTTAAAAAAAGAGGGGAGCATGAAAGTACATATGTGTTTTAATAATAATATCTAAGACTGCTAACATCGGAATGACATGATTATCACAAAAGGGATGCTCACGAGCAACAGTATTGACAGATGTAATGACCTTCCAATCAGACTGAAAAAGCCTCTTAGAACTGAAACATTTACAGAGAATTAATAAACAGGGAATTCTATAATTTGAATATTATGATAAAAAAAGATCTACTATAAAAATATCAGCATGGGTGGATGATGGTGATGAGGAGGAGAGTCTGGATTTCTTACAGATACAGAGGAAAAATTACAAATTCCATTGGCAATCTGTTAGCATAAAATTACCAGATTTTTCCTTTCATTTTTATCATCAGCGTTCAAATTCACAAGTGAATATATGCTCCTAATTCTTCAGGATCTAATTTGGAGTAGACAAGTAATGCTACTAAGATTCTTTTCAGATGTGTGGAATTAATAGCCTGCCAGATTATATTAAATTACAATTTTAACACCTAGCCAGTATAGCCAATGGGGAGAGATACAGCAATTTTACTTCAACCAAATTTAGCCAATTGGTTATATAATTTCTTACTTTCTTTAAATTTTAAATTTAAATTTTCAAATTTTATTTGAAATATGTTACTGGCTTTGATAAGAAAAAACTCTTGTTTTTCATTTGTTATTTAAAAAACGTGCATACATTCAGTCATGCAGAATAGAGGTCATGGCATCTGATAGAATAAGCTCTGTTTTGTCAAAGCATATGCTGTGATGCATGTCGTATTCTTAAAAGACATGTCAATCCTATTTTTGCAATCAGATTGCTGGATTAAATGGACTATGAAACTCATCTGATAATGGTCCTTTAGATTAGATTAGATTAGATTAGATTAAGAGAGTTGGAAGGGATCTTGTAGGTCATCTAGTCCAATCCCTAGTATCCTAGTATTTTTTGAATTTTTATCAAGATACTGTAGTGGAAAAAACGTTACCTGCCTCGATGGCTGATTTGCAAAATTGGTCAGTTCAGATAATATTACCCCTACTTCTCCAAATAATGTTTTTAATTGGCTTGCTGGATAATTAAGGTGTCAGATCTTGTATTTGTCTGTTTCCAAATGCCGTGTCAACTAGATTTCTTCACTCTGCAACTTTTGTTTCATCATCTTCTAGATAAGAGATAACATAAGGTGACCAGACATCCCGCTTTTGGCGGGATAGTCATGCTTTTTCACAATTTTTCCCACGTCCCGGCTTTTTTTTTTAAAGTCCCGATTTTTTTTAAAGTTACAAAAAAGCCTTCAGCCGCCGAGGCTCTCCTAGCAACTGGGAGCGTATATTCTTCTTCGAGATGAGTGCATTCCCGCCCGCACGTCCCTGGGAGCTGTTGCCAGTGGCTGAGGGAGGAGAAGACTTACTCCATGTGAAGACCACGGACTTCCCTCATGGATTTTTTCTTTTTCTGTTGCTTTGAGCAGCCCCTCCCTCCCCCCTCTCTTCCTCTCTCTCACGGAGCTAGCTAGCAACTGTCTCCGAGGCTGTCCAAGCTCAGCCTCTCCCCCGCCCCCACCCCGGACTGCTGCTTCGCCTCGGCTGCTCAGGGCTTCTAAATTGGCATTGCGTGTTGTTTGAGGAGGGGATTACTGTGCCATAGAA